TTTTTATGTATTTGGTACAGGGTCTCACTATGTAGCTCAGACTCCTAGTGATCCTCCTGTTTTCAGGGTCTCACTATGTAGCTCAGACTCCTAGTGATCCTCCTGTTTTCAGCCTCCCCAGCACTGGGATTACAGGTGTGCACCACTATGCCCAGACTCGGTAGCTGGCATGGCTGGCCTGGGGTGGGGTTGGCATTGAATGTGGTACGAGGGATCAAACCCAGGTCCTTGAGCTTGCCTAGGCAGGCATTTAGACCACTGAGCTATCTCTGTTGTCCCTGCAAACTGTGTTTTCTTTTTTTTTTTTTTTGGTGGGGGAAGGGTCTACAGGCTGTTCAGGGTCTCACTACTAGATCAAACTGTAGTGATCTGCCTGTTTACAGACTCCCAAGAGCTGGGATTACAGGCACACGCCACCACGCCGAGTCTCAATTGCTGTCTCAGTGTGCCCCAGGGGTGGGCCAGCATGGCAGGCCAGGGGATTGAACCCCCAGCCCCTGTGCCTGCTTGCAGGCGCTTTAATCCACTGAGCTATTTGGCAGTATTTGTATTTTTGTATTTTCAATGGCAGTTGATCTCATTAAAACATTTGTTAGGTTCCTCTGCTTAAACCTACTATTTTCTTATTTAATTAATAAGTAGTTTGTGGGAGAATAAACTTTTTTGACTGAGATGAACTTGAGAAGTATACTTTTGTATGGTTACTCACATATACATGTCACCACATACACATATGATGATATAGTACCTATGAAGCTAGGCATTCTGGTGCACACTTATAATCCCAGCGCTTGGGAGGCTGAGGCAGGAGGGTTGCTCTGAGTTGGAGGACAGCCTAGACTACATAGTGAGTTCGAGGCCAGCTTGCACTACAAAGTAAGACCCTGTTTCAAAAAAATGTATTTATGAAATAATACATGATCTTTTCCCTATGAAAGTGATTTTGGTTTCCATTTTGTTCTTTACCATTTGAAAGTAATTCCTTTGTCCAATTGATTGATTTCATAACACTCTAAGAACACTCTAATGAGTAATGAACTCTGTTGAACGCTCGTCTGACAAAAGTATTACTTTGATGTTTTGTTTTGTGTTTGTGGTCCTGGGGATTGAACCCAAGGGTCTGTGTATGGAGCTACATTCCCAGCCCCATTTATGTTTTTTTATTTTGAGACAATGTCTCCCTAAACTGAGCTAGAATTCCATACTCCAAGGTCTGCCTCCCGGGGTGCACCCGCATGCCTGGCTGGCAACATCACCTTGAATTATCCGGTTGCTGAATGGAAAAGAGAAGACAGAACTGATCTCAAGGAGCCTGTTGGAAGAGTCATGCTATAAATAAGGACAGGGAGGTCGGGGGCTATTGGCAATGGGATTGGGAGAAGTGAGTGGATATGGGGGAGAAGCAGATAGATTAACAGTGTTTCGAATGTAGGTGTGAAGAAAAGCGGAGGAATCACCCACGGTATTCAGACTTGGTCTCTGGGTAAATGGGGTGCTCTTTGAGATACTGAAGCTTTATAATTGAGGTTGAAGTTTCAGGACATTGGTGTGGAGCTGTCGGGTGGGCCGCTGCTCTATGGCACTCAGGAGTGAATCATTAGCAAAATCAGGGTGGCTTTTACCCAAGGAGATTGGACAACCTCATGCTCAATTGTAAGGAGTGTGAATTTGGTTCAAGATAGACACAAAGGCTCTGCCAGGTGTGGGGTTGCACACACCTGTAATCTCTGTACTTGGGAGGCTGAGGAAGGAAGATCTCAGAGAGTTCAAGGCCTGCCCTACACAAGCAAGTACAGGGCCACTATACAGTGGTCCTTGCACTACATAGATAGGGCCTTTTGAAAGAAAGAAAGACCCTGAAAATACTTTCAATTACTTTGGCGGCGTGGAGACGAACTAGTAAAATAATTTCTATATGCCAAAAAATATATCAAGGAAG